TAATATCCCACGTAAGAAGAGACTTTTACAATTCTTGTAGCCTCACTTGGACGCAAATGTGCATTCGAATAAAATGCAAACAAATTAAACAACCTTGTTTCTGTCGAAACAAATCAATCAAAATTGCCATTTTATATACACATATATTAGATAAAAACACATTTTCAAACACGCGTATTAAAATGCCATTTTAATGAGCATGATGTCACAGTACTCTCTATATATATCTCGCGTCTCTCTGAGAGAAGGGGGGTGATGGGGGGGACGCGTGCATGGTGCATATGCTGCAGTCGTATAAACACCCAGCGCGCGCCGTTACGTGGGGCCTAGCCGTGATTTTATTGGTGGCCTTAAAGAAAGGTGCCTTTGTATATTTTATAGAGCGGTCAGCGCACACATACATACATACACACATACGTACGCAGGATACAGACACAAATCCCCCGTATAGCTTTAACAGACTGTAGGAGCAAGTGCTGTTAGCGAGTAGTACCCAATAAAGGGCGGAACGGCACACGAGTGGGTGGGTGGCCCGAACCACGCCCGGCCTCATTTGTCTTCCCGGCGGCGATGTTTTGCACATCGCAACAGGAACTCTCATTTCAGATTGCGTCGACCTAGAGGGAGGCCCAGGACCGGTTCAGAAAATCGCCAACGGCGTTGGCAGGCGCGGCGCGCTAACTGCTACACCACCTCGACACCACCACCACCACATCCACCACCACCACCGCCAGCAGCACCACCACGACTCGCGCGGCCCGGGTTTTCCCACGAAGATCCGGAGCCTTGACGCAGTCTCGCTGCTGCCCTCCCTTTCAGAGATAATGTCAATAAATTATTTGGTTCACAGCAATTGTTTTTTTTATTATTATGAAAGGTGTGTGTGTGGGGGGGGTCAAACAAAATAACGAGATAGCTGGGGGTTTGAATGGATATGAAGCGGCCGGCGTGGTTGTATTGATACCGTATATATCGTTGTGTGAGCTTGTCTGCCATTGGTTGCATGTTAGTGTGTATGTGTGTGTGATTGCCTCTGTGTGTCTCAACGTGTGTGTGTGTGTGCATGTGTGGGGAGCGGTAGAGTGTAGCGATTAACGCGCTGCGCTATGAACCTGGATACCCGGGTTCGATTCCTGCTCACGGTCAACACCAGTGACGATTATCTGAACCGGTCCTGGGCCTCCCCGAGGTCGACTCAGATGAGTACCTGGTGCGGTGTGTAAACATCGCCACTGTGGAGACGAAGGCGGCCGGGCGTGGTGCTGGTTACCCTCCCCCTCGTGTACCGTTCCGGCCTTCATAGGGGCTCGCTAACAGCACTTGCCCCTACAGTCTGTTACAGGCTATACAGGGGATATTTGTCTTTGGTTACACGTGGCTGGATGTGTATACATACAAACACCTTTGTGTACACATACAGACACCAATAACCTGCTACGATGTGTAAACATGAGCACTTGGGAGACAAAGGCGGCCGCGCGTGGTGTTGGCCACCTTAATCCCTCGTGTGCCGTGCCGCCCTTCATAGGTGCTCGCTAACAGCACTTATGTGTGCATTTGTGTGTATCTATATGTGTATGTGTGTATGTACCTGCGTGTTCTTCTCTGTTTTGTATGCATGCGTGCATGTACATCTGTGTCTTTGTGTGCATTTTGGTTTTTGTATGTGGCTGTCATCGTGTGTACGTGGTGTACCTGCGTAGATATGTGCATTTGCATATGTCGCTCTGTACATGTGTGTCTTTGTACACACGTGTTTTTGAGTGTATATATTATGCAACTGTATGTGTGTATATCTCTGTGTCTATGCGTGCATTTGCGTGTATGTATTCGTTGAAAGTTGGGGAATATTGCGTCTGTGCATGTATATCTGAGAGTGTGTGTATGTCCTGGTGTCTATAAAGTGTGTGTCTGTGCGTCTGTGGGAGTGTCGGTGCACGTTTACCCCCAGTCTCTCTCTATACATGTATACGCTACTTTGTGAACGCATGTCTATTTGTCTATCTGCGTGTGTGTGTGTATTGACGTACGTGACACTGTGCGTGTCTGTGCGCCTTTGTGTGTCTGTGTCGTCAGCGCGTTTTGCTACGAACCTAGCGAACCGAGTTCGATTCACGCTCACGGCCACCAACACCAGTGACGATTATCCGAAATCAGTCCTGGGCCTCCCCTAGGTCGACTCAGCCTTAAACGAGTACCTGTTTGGATGTGTAAATATCGCCACTCGGGAGACAAAAGCGGCCGGGGTTGGTGCTGACCACACTATAGCTGCGGTGCATGAGGATGTTTGTGTGCGTGTGTGTTTGGTGGTGGTGGTACTGGCTGACAGCACTTGCCCCAAGAGTCTGTTGAGGCTATACGGGGCTGAGGGGGTCTTTGTCTTTGTGTACAGTTTCCCTCCACTCAGTCCCAACACATAACTCCCGTAACAAATCCCTCGGACATTTGGACAGATTACATTATTGCGCCTCACGGTTTCCAGCCAGCCAAATAATTAAAGATGTTGGGGTTTTTTATCTTTCCTAAACACTGCCACGCTGATTAACGCGTCTCTTCATAACCCCGGCGTCTGCAATCGCGTGGCCTTAAGCATTTCTGGCACCGTGCTATGATGGATGAAACAACACCCAATATGGCTCCGCGTCATTACATCTTAGCAGAGTTCCGACCGCCGGGCCAGTCTTTGCTGTCGCCGTGTCCCCGGGTCACGATCCTTAGGAGGAATCGGTTTCTGCCTTCAATGTATATCACTCCCCCCCCCCCACTTTGCCGCCCACCTTTGCAAACTTGCATTTAACACAAACGTGCACGCGCGCGCACGCGTGCACACGTGCACGCGCGCGCGTCACGGATGCCACATGACCGGCGCGCTCGATTTCTCGCCCCATCGGTAAAGCGTCGCGCAACGGTCACGTGTCTTCGGTAACGCTTTCCTTTTGCGATAAACGACAACAACAACAATAGCATCAAACAGAACTCAACGCACTCACTCGATCGACAACACTGCCTTGAAAATTAAAACAAATATTTATAATCGGCGACGTTTAGCATGTGATAGACAGCATCTTGTAATGCACGAGTCGACCCTGTGTGCATTGTCCGTGCATGTGCGTGTTACGACGCGCTATAACAATGCCATTAATTATAATGACGCTATTAATTATAATTAGCTAATAACGAGAGCGCTGCATTTCGAATCGCTCCTATCGCGCGCCGCGACACTCACACCGAGAAGGGCGCTCCGATTCGAAACACAGTCACGAGAGCGCTGATGGATCAATGTCAAACACGTGACACATCGTGCACGCAACAGAGCAAATTGTTCCATCGGCTGTCACCGAGCGGACGGGCAACGGCGGTCCGACGTTTCGGCCCGACTGGCCCGCTTCGGTAAAGAGTGAGGCTCAAACGGAGCAAGAGCCTCGGAACGTAGTCTTGCCCGGTGATGTTGGTTGTTCGGCTTGGTTTTGTTGAAGGCCATTGACTAAACTCTCAGCAAACTGTTGTCTGTACTTTTGCTGTGCGCGCACACGCGCGCGCGCGCGCACACACAAGCACCCCTCTACAGCACAACACAGCACAACAAGCAGCATTGATGCCCTCCACTGTCACCGTGACACATCGGGCTGCCCCAGCCCCATTATCCATCTGCCCGTAGCAGCAGTACAGCTGCAGAAAAAAAAACGTGGTCGCGTCGTACCCGGCACTTAAGCGAGCCTCACGGCCATTGCGCCCACCAGCACGGGCGCTATAGCGTGTCAGGTAACGTACCAGTTTCCTTGTAAAACGGTAGCCGTGGTGGTACCCGGTTTGTCAGGGCAGGTCTTGCCAGTGAAGGCCTGACTCATGGAGTTGTGTCTGGTTGCTGCTGCTGTAACCACGCTGGCAGGGGGGGGGCCGTGTCGGTCCTTCCTTGTGCACTCCGGGTACGCACGGCGTTGGAGATGATGGAGTAAATCTTTTGGGGAGGGGGGGGGAATTGGGCGATGTACGAGGAGTTGTAGTAGACATCGTAAGCGAGAAGATATACGAGACTCGGGTTAGTCACACGGGTTTACTATAATTATCCACTAATTAGGGGAGCAGTGTAGAAGCGCGCTCGCTCACTGCAACGTAATGGAAGTCGTATGATTACAAAAACGTACGGAAAAAAAATTCTACATTTTTTTTTGGGGGGGAGGGGGTAAAATGCATAGAAAATGCGTAGCAGACACTACCGTGTCAATGAGTATATAGTCACGTTTTTGAGGGTCACGCTTCTCTTGCGTTCCATTCGCCCGTGTAATAATGTGCAGCTTTGTCAGCGTTAAAATCCCTATCCATGCCGTACATTTACACGCGAGCTCATATATAGTAGTTCGAGTTGCCCTATCTGCACGTAACCACTCCGTCTGTAGACACAAATGTGCTCGGGCTGTCTTCAGATGCCCAGGTGCCTGTGTACAGGCAGGGTTCCGGGAGGGAAAACAGCAAGATTAATTGCGCAAGCAAATAGTCCCTGCTAACGCGTCCGTATTAAAAGCCCCGCGCATCGCCGACGTCGCCGCTTATAACGCACCTCACTTATTTGTCGTCGCCCACACACCAATGCGTGCCAAAAGATCCCGTGCTTTAATTAATTACTGGACATGCCAACCCAATCACGACCCACGCGGAGTGATTTATTCCCGCCGCCGCCGCCGCTCGTTATAATAACCACGTGAGCGAGCGCCGCCGCGTTGGGTCGCTCCAAAGAGGACTCGCACGCTGACCCGCAGATCACACGCGCGCCGCCGCCGCCTACACAGCCGAGGAAAGATCCGAAAAATAGACGGCAAAGGAGCGCCGGACTCCACGCACTCACGCACGCGCGCGCGCGCACGCACGCACGAGGGCACGCACGCGCGCACGCACGAGGGCAGTAGCAGCGGCGGCTGCGGCGCACTCGACGTTACGCACGCGGTCGAGACGGCAGCAGACGCGCCGAGGGCTCAAGGCACAACACAGCGAGGTGGGTGGGTGGTGGTGGTGGGTGGGGTGGGGGGTGGTCGGCCAGCACGAGCCAGCGACGGCAGCGCGGCGCGCGCAGCCGCCTTATTTATTCCGATGTCGAGTTCGGGAGCGCTCAGCACCTACTACGTGCACTCGCTCATCAGCGGCGATGCCGACGGGATGATGAGCGCGGCCGCCGCGGCTGCGGCAGCGGCGGCGGCGCGATACCCGGGAGGTGCGCACCACCACTCGCAGGCAGCGCGGCCCGCGGCCCCCGTGCAGCTGCCCGAGCACCCCGACTTCCCGTCGTGCAGCTTCCAGCCAAAGGGCTCCGTGTTCGCCTCGCCGTCCGCCTGGGCGCCCATCCCTACGCAGCCGCCACCCGGCGGGGTCTTTCACCCGCACGCGGCCTACGTGGGGCAGCCGCACCTCGCCGACGAGGGTAGCCGCTACGTGCGCTCTTGGTTGGAGCCCGTGGGATTCTCGGGATTCGGTGGCGGCGGCGGCGGCAGCGGCGGTGTTGGTGGTGGGGCCAGGCCCTATGACTACAAACCGGAGCCTCTGCAGCAGCAGCAACAGCAGCAGCAGCAGGCGGTGAAGCGACGCGACGTGACGGCGGGAGTGGTGGCCTACGAGACGTCTCCAGGCGCCACCGTGGCCCCGTTGCTCGGCGGGGACTTCCCGCTGGAGGCGCCGAGCGAGAAGTTGGCCGACGTCTCCCCGTACCCGTGCACGGACGACGCGGACGTGAACTCGGAGAAGAGCGACGACAAGCCGACCATCGACCCGAGTGAGCGCGCGCGCACGCCGCGTACACGCACGACCCACGCACACCGTGTACACACACGTCCCATGCACACCGTGTACACGCATGTCCCACGCACACCGTGTACATGCACGTCCCATGCACACCGTGTACACGCACGTCCCACGCACCCCGTGTACACGCACGTCCCACGCACACCGTGTACATGCACGTCCCATGCACACCGTGTACACGCACGTCCCACGCACACCGTGTACACGCACGACCCATGAACACCGCGTACACACACGTCCCACGCACACCGTGTACACACACGACCCACGCACACCGCGTACACGCACGACCCATGAACACCGTGTACACACACGACCCACGCACGCCGTGTACACACACGACCCACGCACACCGTGTATACACACGTCCCATGCACATAGTGCACACGTGTACACGCGTACTCCTACTTCCCATACCGTGTACACATGTACACATATTTCTATACACACGGTGTACACACGTGCACATAGTTCCAATCACACTGTGTACACACATATACCTCGGTTCAATGCACACCGTGTACACACGTAACGTGCAGTGTGTGTGTACATATATCGTCTGTGTGTACGCATACCGTGTGTACACCCACACACGGTAACACACACACACCGTGTACACCCACGTATTATACACACATACATACGTGGTGGTGTGTGCAGACTTGCACACACAGTGTGTGTATACACACACATCCTACACACGCGCGCAAATATACCGTGTAATGTATAACACTCCGTGCACACACACACGCGGCCATTTCTTACACACACTACTTACGCACACCACCCACGTACGCAAGCACGCACACACAACCATGCACACATACACAAACACAACACACACCCCGCGTACGTACGCCCACCCCTACTACCCCCACGTACGCAGCTCTCACAAACACACCCCCACGTACGCACACACACAACCATGCACACCTATACACACGTACAACACACACACCCCGCGTACGTACGCAAACAACCAACTACCCCCCCACGTACGCAGCTCTCACAAACACACCCCCACGTACGCACACCCCCCAAGTACGCACTCACACACAAACATGCACACCTATACACACACACACAACACACACCCCGTGTACACCCCCCACCCCCCTCCCATGCGACCACCCCGTCATTGCATCCACGCCCCGTGCGTCAGATTTGCTGTTTGCTGTTTGTTGTGTAGCCTCGTCGCTTCGCCCCAGCCGCCGCCTCTGTTGTTGTTGTTGTTTACAACGGTCGTGTCACCGACACCAAACTGTGCGCTTGGTGTACCTTTCAGTCTTAAATGAAACCTCGTCTTCTCTTCCCACCATAAAATAATTGAATAGCTAGGCCAGGGGTATTTTGTGTGTGTGTGTGTGTTCCTCCACCCCCCCCACCTTCAATAATGTTTTTTTTTTTATAGGCGCGTTAATTGAGATAACTTTGCGTGCCCCTGGTAGTGGCTTCATTGACGAGCTGACAGCTTTACGCATTCAGCAAGCCTTTAAACATTTCGCTATAAAGTACGAGACAATATTCAACGGTCCGTTACTAATAGCCTAATAATAGTAACAAATATCACCCCTGATGATAATAATAATAAAATATGTATTGCCATGTTTATTGTTTTTTCACATGATGTCACACTTTTAAGAGGATGTCACATAATCCCAAGAGATACATCCCCGACGTAAAAAAAAGAGATTTCCGTTACTTTTATATCGTGGATATTATTCATTAATTGCCGGTTTAACTTGCACGCTGCTCCATTAAAAAAAAAACCCCACGAGTTTGACATCACCGCTTCCTAATCGCATTGTGTCGTAACGTGCGAGTTATATATGACACGGGGAGTGTCTGATTACGTGCTGTAAAATGCTACGGCTTCTCTCTCTCTGTGAGCCCACGTGGCTACCCGCTCGGCAGCTTGCTTATTGCGCGCGTGGTGTCCCAATGATTCAGCCGCAGACACCAACCGGGCCAGTCGAACAAAGGTGATAGGCAAAGAGTCCGCTGTCCACCCCCCCTACCCTGCCCTCCCCTCCTTTGAAGTGACGCTGTTGTTATTGTTGTTGTCTCCGACTCGTAAACAAGACAAAGATCCCCCGTGTAGCTTTAACAGCCTTTTGGGGGCAAGTGCTTTCAGCGAGTAGCACCTCTGAAGGCCGGCAACAGCACACGAGGAAGTGGATGGATCCCAGCACCACGCCCGGCCGCCTTTGTCTCGCGAGTGGCGATGTTTTACTACGCACCGCGCCAGGTACTCGTTTGAGGCCGAGTTAACCCTCGGGGAGGGCCCAGGACCGGTTCGGATAATTATCGTCACCTTGGTGTTGGTGACCGTGAGCGGGAATCGAACTCGGGGAGGCTCGCGGGGGTTCGTCGGGGTAACGGGCTCACACCGATGCACTGCCGCTAGTAAACAACACAGCCGCGAACACAAACACACACACGTATAGAGATAATATAATGAATTGTAGACTGCGACGATAATAATACGAAACAAAGCGGTTCGCTGCAGACAAAGCGCTGAATGAAGCGTGGATGGCAGACGAGGCCTGTGGTGTGGCTCTGGTGACATTATTCGGGGTACGCGCACATGGTAGCAGCACGGCACACACCCAGCTGGTGTGTCGCGTTTGACAATTCACAGCTTGACCCACAACGTTAAGCCCGTATACATCTTCGTCGTCGTCGTCGTCGGTGTATTGCGTTGCGTTTAAACAACAACAACACCAAAAATATAAATTCGAACACAAGAGCCCCCCATTGTTATTGTATCGGCCACACGCACGGCACAGCGTCAGCGCGTTATATTGCGTTTGAGATGGCGCTCGCAAAAAGACGGGAGAGCGTAGCGTTTTGTGATATCTCTCGCTCACAAGCAGAACAAAAAAAACAGGCGAGGTCGTATACAACAACAACAACAAAATGTGTACAACAACAACGACGACGACGAACAGCAACAGCTAACCCTGCAGCGGTTAGCTGCACGTGACAAGCGGCGTGCTGTCGATGGCGGGGAGAGGCGAAAGAGAGCAGGAGTAGTCGCGTCTACACACTTAGAGAGAGCGTGAGCGCCAGACAAAGAACACGGAGCACCACGCACACACGCACACGAGTGCTCTGAATGATACGGCGTGAATTGTAATCGCAATTTCCTTCGCAAGTGCTCTCGCGCTGAGATCTACTATATCTCGACGAAACGCGGTGACACGTGACATTTTTGCTTAATGTATATTCGCCCACACCGTCGTGTACCTGTCTGTACACCTAATTTTGTCGTGTCAATCCACTGCTGGATGAAGGCTCTCGCCACGCTCGTTTGCGGGTTGTGAGGGTGGGGGGGTGGAGAGGGGTGGGGGGGTTATTTAACCATACTTCACCACGCCGGTCAATGCGTCTTATTTGCGTAGTACACAAACACACGCCGTGCGTGTGTGCCTACAGTGGGGGAGCCGTGGTGCAGCTGTTAGCGCGCTGCGCAACGAACCCGGCGAGCCGAGTTCGAATCCCGCTCACAGCAAACACCAGTGACGATTACCTGAACCCGTGCTGGGCCTCCCCTAGGTCGGCTCGGCCTCGAATCAGTGTGTAATCATCACTGCTGAGGAGACAAATGTGACCGGGCATGGTGCTGGTCACCCATCCCGGCGTGTGACGTGCCGGCCTTCATCATTGCTCGCTAGCAACACTTGCCCCAACGTTCTGTTCAAGGCTATACTGGAGGGGGGGCGGGGGGGGTCTTTGGGTCCGGGCCTGCGCTTTAATCACTATCCCATCCGGCCGCTGTACAATCAATGCCCAATAATGCAGTGAGTCGGTACGCCCACCTTGTTGGCGTATACCCACGGCGTGTGTGCATGAGTGTCGGGTGTGCACGGGGGACGAGGGGGGAGGAATGGAAGGGGGGGGGGGGCAGGCGATAGTGGTGTATGTTCTCTGCGTGTACGACGAAGACAACCTTCATGCATCGCCATTCGTTTGGCTTTGCCGGCCTTCATAAGGTGCTCGCTAAAAGCACTTGCACCAGCAGCCTGTGTAGGCAATGCGGAGGGAGGGATCTTTGTCTTTGACACGTGTACGAACCGGGGCCTCGTCACTGATGATGTGTGCAAAGGGGCCGTGATCGTCATCGTCAACACATCCTTCCGGGCCCATGCTGCATCTGTGTGTGGATTGTGTAATATTATTCTATACGTACAGTATGCATGCGGATCGTAAATCATGCTAAGATATAGCCGCGCGCGCGCTCTTAACGCTAATTGCAGTGGGTACACGATACGACGCCGTCGTTGTTTTTGGTGCTGCTGTGGTTTGTTGTTGTTCGTGCAGGTTGTAATTCAAAATATAATTGGGTCTTTGTTCGTGTCTGCACACACAGTACCCATAGGCCGTGTACATAATAAATTATGGACCACGTACATAATGCAGTGACAATGCGTTTGTTCCCTTGTGTGCATCTCGGCATGCAAAAAAAAAGAGTGTACGTGGGAGTGGTGGCCGAGCGGTTTGCTCACGCTGCTCTTCACACAAACACAGCGAGCACCGAGTGATGTTCCGTGCCAGGGTTAACCAACAACAACAACAACAACGACAACAACAAAACACAAGAGTCGTGAATACGCGAACCTCTGTTGAGGCCTCCTGCAGGTCTGGGCCGGCTCGGCCTTCAATGAGTCGACCCGGTGCGATGTGTAAACATCAGCACCGTCGGGACAAAGCCGTGCACTCGGGACAGACAGTGGCCACACAATCACCATCACGACCACCTCCATACCCCTCGAGTGCCGATACAGCCATCGTAGGTTGCTCGACACAGCATTCACCCCCCCCCCCCCCCCGACAAGCCGATGCAGGTTATCTCGCTGTGTTCATGGGTTGTCACCGGCGTGTTGTTCGCCATGATGTCCGACGTTTCGCCCCAAGTGCCGAGAGGTTCAATCCTGAGCATTCTCCCAGGCCTCGGAGCAAAAACCATAACTTAGATTTGAACACGAGGCGATAATCCTCCGCTACTCTGGACGCAATCATCTGGCTCACCAGCCCCGTTGTAAAATTAGAGCTGTTGCCCTACATCAACGTTTGCCATACGAAGATGGGCTATACAGTAATGGGGGAGTCGTGCAGGGGGGGGGGGAGGTGTTTGCCTTGGAGGCTTGGTAAGGAGGGGGGGACTGTCTGTGTCTGGGGGTCTGTGGTGTAGCGGTCAGCCAAGTCGACCAACCGAGTTCGATTCACGCCCACGGTCGACACAAATATCTGACAATTATCTGAACCGGTTCTGGGCCTCCCCGTGGTCGACTCAGACTCAAATGAGTACCTTGGTGAGGCGTGTAACCACGCCACTGGGAAGACAAAGGAGGCCGGGCGTGGTGTGTGCCGTGCTGGCCTTCATAGGTGCTCGCGAACAACACTCGCCCCAACAGTCTGTTAAAAGGCAATTGGGGGGGGGGGGGGGGTGCGGGTGGGAACGTAGTCTCGTGTCTTTGTTACAAGCTCGTGTCTCTGAGCCTTTGCCGTGTGTTCCTTCCCTCGTTGTCGCCCCGCAGACAACCCCACGGCCAACTGGATCCACGCACGACCCTCTCGCAAGAAGCGCTGCCCCTACACCAAGTTCCAGACGCTGGAGCTCGAGAAGGAGTTCCTCTTCAACATGTACCTCACGCGGGACCGGCGCTACGAGGTAGCTCGCGTGCTCAGCCTCACCGAGCGCCAGGTGAAGATCTGGTTCCAGAACCGGCGCATGAAGATGAAAAAGATGAACAAGGACAGAAACAAAGATCCGCAGTGAGGTCGTCTGAAGCGCCGTGTTTGTAGAGAAGCGCCCGGAAGCGCGAGACGAGACGGATTGGTGTTGACGATGGTGGTGGTTGGTGTTGGTGGCGGTGGGTGGTTGTTGTTGGTGGCGGTGGTGGTGGTGGTGGTGGTGAAGACGACGACAGTCAACAACTTTCAAATGTGAACAACAGCAATTGATACAACTCCCCGATGAATGCAATGGAAGTGCGCGTTCGACTTTGCATCGTACATTAAAACAAAAGAAAGGAAACTATACACTGATAATGAAGGTCTCACATTATATATAGTATATATATTAATAAATACACCATGCCGGAGTGCAGCTATTTTTCAGAACGGTTGTACCTTGCACAAATCGGTAATATCTTTATTAAGGTTTAGGCATTGCGGTTAAGCTGTTCGGAATTGCAACTATTTAATCAATGGCTCTTCCCCTTTTCATTGCTAAAGAAGAGAGGTTTATGTAGCTCAAGACGCGTGCAGTCCCAACTACCTGGGAAGCAATTCCAATAATTACGTTTCATTATTTTGGAATAAGTACAATTGTTTTGGACGGCAGACTGAAAAAGGAAGGTTACCGTTGCGTGTTTATTATTATATCATAATTATTATAGAGCACTGTTGTATTAATTACATTTAACCGATGTACATTTATTTAAACCGTTTACAAAACAAACAAAAAAAATCTAAGTAATTTTATATAATAATTATATATTAAAATAATTAAATAAAAAGGGGAGGAGTTATTCACACGATATTTGGGCTACCTATATATAAGAAGCTGACACTTTGTAAATGTAGAAATGCGCGCAAATTTAAACAAAAATTACAACAACAAAAAAGAGTTCCTTTTATTTAAGAGACTTTAAAAAAAAATAATGTACACGTGGTTTCCCGAACGCGACTGTACAGTGTTACACCCGGCCCTCATCGCTGCCGCCCGCGTACTTGAAAATCGTGTTTTGTGACTGCTGTGTGATGTCAGGATTTATACTCGATACTTAATCTGGGTCGCGACGTTATATATATGTGTAGATGTGTGCGTGTGTGTACGTAGCGTTATATCCAGCAACTCGCCATCCTCCCCCTCCCTACCTTGCCTTTTGGAATGAAAAAAACAACCAACCCCTACTTGACTGCTCATTGCTCGCCCCTGCGGGTTTGTTCATTGGTTGCTTGCGGTGCATGCAGTTGGTCGGTCTCTAGACACGAGAGAGAAAGAGAGAGACACACAGAGCACGTCGGAGCCAATTTGAACGCATGTCCGACAGGGTTGCAAGCAAATCTCGCTCTCTCTCTCTCTCTCGGTGTTCTCCTCTCATGTTGTTCGCTCGTCGTGGTCGCTGTATGTATGTGTGTATGTATATATATTCGCAGTACTGTGACTATTGCCTTCCTGGTATGGTAAAGTTTTTATTGTAAAATATATTATATTAATATTTACCCGTGGCCCCCCTATCTCTCACCCCGCCCGCCCGCCCCACCCGCCAACCACACCCCCCCCCTCTCCCCGTTATGTTGTGTAAATAAAGGTAATGAAAATAAAGGACAATGACACTTCAGGTGTGAGCGTTGTCAAGGGGTGTGCTGATGATCGCCTGTCTAATCAACTCACAGCGGCGCGCGCCCGTACTGATTGTGTATTGCTTGATATCCCGTGTGGCCTTCGGCAAAGTGTCGGGGCAAGTGCTGTTGGCGAGCAACCCATGGAAAACAATCACGCGCAGACACACAATCGGATATGCACGTAGACACACAATCGTATCAACACAAATGCGACCACATACACAATCGCATAGACAGATATAGATAATCACAGACACACATAATCATACACACTGCACGAACATACATCCAAACACACAATCGCGTACACAAAGACACTGTCCATCATCATGCAAACAGACACACTATAATATACACACACAAAGACATCACATGTGCAGACACGCATGCACAAGCGCAGAAAAAAGATATCCCGTATAACCTTAACAGACTGTTGGGGCAAGTGCACACAGATACATACATACAGACACACACAATCACATAGACACACACCCACAATCAAATACACACAAACACGCAATCACACAGGCTACACGCAATTACATGCATACACAAAAATACATAATTTATAGATATATTTTTGGGGCTAAGTGCTGTTAGCGAGTATCTATTAAGGCGCGTACGCCACGCGAGTCAGGGGGCTGGTGGAGTACTACGCCCGGCCGCCTTTGTCTCTTCCAGGAACTCGTTTCAGTGTCGTGCCTACCGAGCAGAGGCCCGGGACCGGTTCAGATATCACGCGGCAAAGATGTTATTTCAACATAGATGGTAACACAGACAAACACAGCATGCATACAAACACGCGCATACATAAACACCAACAATATATACACACACACGAGCAAACACGCACATAAACACAGGCCACAAAGGACATACCCCCCATATAGCCTTAACATAACTCGTGCAGAAAGCGTTGTTAGCGAGAACCCACAGACACAAAAACGACACGAATACACAGACACATGCAACGTCCACCCCTTGCGGCACAGACTGAAACACGCGTTACATAATGTTAATATCATGGTAAGTAAAAACTGCGTCTGAAGGTATCCGATAATAATGAACAGCAACACCATATGTCAATAGCGTTTGCTTTCGAACGCTTTGAATGTCGCCATGAATTCATTTGCATTAAATACGGTGATTGCGAAATCCAAACCAGTCCTACACATGGGCAGACACGGCTAAAGAAACCGTGTACTGTATAGTAGCAGCATTGTTCCGCGGTGCATTGCCAGATGTATGACACGCAGCCAGGGTGTATATATGGCTGCAACTTATTTCATTCGTGACGTGGGCTGTGTGCGTCTTCATAGGTGCTCGCTAACGGCGCTTGCTCCTTACCGTGTGGCCGTGCTCCCCGTGAATCGCGTCGGTCGCCGCGGTGTTTCAACACAACGATTTGGGGGCAACGTTTTTAATCCGAACGTCGCTCCTCCGTATGAAGCGCGTTTGATGCAGCACGCGCCTAAAACCATCGCAAAGTTGAATTCGATTCAAAGTTTAGTCAATTGTCGCGAGTTTATTATCAGTGGGTGGCGAATGTGTACATTCAATTAAAAGTAAAGTACAGATATACACGATACGTGTGAGATATAACCTAATAAAAATGTAAAGACAGCTCGCATAATGTTATATAAAGGCATCCCGTGAGGCTTTCCTAGAAAAAAAATAATAGCACACTCACCATCAAGTATATGCCATCGATATTATAATATACAATGCATTGTTGATAATATAACATAAACTAATTCTCACGAACACGATGATTATGGCACGATACGCAGATATTCTTCAAACTACGCAATTTTTAATGGACACAAAGCGCTTCAAATATACTGCTACCAACTACAACATTCAACATTGGGTATGTTTATCCATAACAATAATCGTCAAACATTCATCATCAAACGATAACTGCGAATTACTTCGACATAATTCTCAAAATATAGGGCAGCAAAGTTAGAGTTTTATTGACGAGTCCATAAATCAATAAATATACAAATACATAAAGGCAAAGATCCCCCTTATAAGCCTTCACGGACTTTTGAGACGAGTTCTGTTCGCGAGCAGCACAAATGAAGACCAGCACGGTACTCGAGATGATGGGTACACACGCTCACATGATGCCTCTCTGTCTATGGAGTGGTGAAGTGTACAGTATATACATCTGAGGCTTCGCTCACTTAAAGCCAATTTGGCGCACGGTTCGCAAGGAACAGATCCGAACATTGTTGCCGCTTTAAAAGTTTGCGTGTGTGCGCGTGTGTGCGCGTGTGTTGCCTGTCCCGTCAAGTCTGTCCCGTCCTGGTTGCTGGCCACCCACCCCCTCGTGTGCTCAGCCGGCCTTCAAAGGTGCTCACTAAAACAGCACTTGGCCCAACACTCTATTAAGGCTATACGGTGGATATTTGTCTATGTCGTTTTTGTTCTTGTCTCTCCCATTGACCTCTTGCCAGCGAGCTTTCGACACTTCACGCGACGAACCTCAAAGTGCACCTAGCCTGGCACAAGCGCTGGTGGTGACGTCACCGCCACTTAGTGGCGAACGGCGGCAGCGGTTGTTGTGTTCTTTTTACCTTTTTGTGTTCAGTTGCGACCCATGTGAACTTAACGCGTGGCGCACTAATTGGCTGCCCCGTGTGTAATATTCACATCGTGCTCATTGCAGTCGTAACGAGTAATTAATATTGGTAAGCGAGCTGCCTTGGTCGATGGAGTGAGTGGTGGCACCTCGGTCACTCACCTGCCGCGACTAAAGTCACCTGTCTGTTTGAAATGAAGAGAATCGCGGGGCGCGGGCCGAATTTGGTTTGGGGTTGCGGAGACAACACACAATTGGATGTACGTAGGTCGACTCAGCCTCAGATGAGTACCTGGTGCGGTGTGTAGTAAATATCGCCACTAGGGAGACCTGGCCAGCCAACCCCTCGTGTGCCGTGCCGGCATTCATAGGTGCTCGCTAACAGCACTTGCCCCAAAAACTCTGTTAAGGCTATATGGGGGATCTTATATGTGTGGGTGCTAATATGAATGTGTTAAAAGGTGTTCTGTAACAACCTGTGTTAGACAAAGTTCTTACCCACAATGCTATTGTGTACGCTGTGTGTTACCCACAATGCTATAGTGTACGCTGCGTGTATGTGTATGTGTGTTTGCGTGTGTTTTTGTACAATGTATGTGTTTTTGTATGTATGTAGGGGTGTGTCTGCGTGTCCGTATATTTGTGTGTGTATCCCATATGTTGAGAACACGTGTTTGTGTGTGTTTGTGTACGTGCGTGCTTGTCTTTGTTGCGTGTATGTATGAGTGTGTGTGTACCTCTTTTTATTTTTGTGCGCGTCTGTATGACCGCTCCGGCCTTCATAGATGCTCGCGAACAGCACTTGCTCCAAAAGTCTGTTGAAAGCTACAGTATAGGATACGGTATATCATTGTCATTGTGTATACGCAATTATGTTGCGTACATATGACTGTATTGCGTTGTGTATGGTCAAATAAGTAGTCTGAATGCTATGAGATGACACCACCCACTGCCAATAAATATACATTCGAGTTGGTAATGTGAGTATTATAGCATAGTGGGGAGCGGTAGTGTAGCGGTTAGCGCGAAGCGCTACGAACCCGGCTACCCGAGTTCAATTACCGCTCACGGCCAACACCACTGAATATTTTCTATTGGACCGGTCCTTCTCGAGGTCGACTCAGCCTCAAATGCGTACCTGGGCGATGTGCTGGCCACTCGCCACCTCGTGTGCTCGTGCCGACCTTCGTAGGTGCTCGCGAACAGCGCTTGCCCCCCCCAAAAAAAAAAGTCTAGCAAGGCTATTACAGGAGATCTATGCCTTCGTCATTATTTTTGTGAGGTTTGTAGATTTTACTTGCTTCAGTAAGAAAGTCCCAATGAGCTGCTTTCGGCTCGATTTCGTGGGCGTCCTGCGACGGTACACATGTTATACACAGCGGAGATCTTAGCTACAATAATATACAATATGTTCCAGCTACATTTGCCAACGCAATGTTGTCTCTGCGCAATGTGTGTAACTCTACAATACCACCCGCATAACGATACAACGCGCAGATCGCCCCTGATATAACGCGATCACGTTACAACAGATTTGCGTAAGGTATGGTGCAACTTCGAAGTTAACACAGCGACATAGCGATCAGAGTAAACGTTTCTCTGAAGGAGGGCCATCGCCTTAAACGTCGGCTATCTCCCCCGCCCGACCCATTTAAGGTGGTGTTATCAACGAACGTGTTGAGTATTTGTTACAAGTAAAAAATAGGTATACAATATTTTAATGCCAATTAATAATCTTAAATCTGAACGAATTATATATCTTAATATAAAACACATTGTGGTGTTTATTTTAATTTTCGATTTAAACGTCGTGAGATTTTTATTGTCTTATTTTGTTTTATTGTTTTATTCTCATTCTACGTGACTTTACCGAAAGAACCAAGATGTATCTTAATTGTTTATTCATCATATTTACGAAATTTAAAACACAGAACCTATGTGTGTTTAATACACGTGGATATACTGACACACATTACACAAGGCTGCGTTTACAGTCGTCCACAAACACAACATGTATTTTGTTAACTCACAACAATCCTCATTAACACCACCTCCCGCGAAAGAAAAGTGCCGTGTTACTAACGAAAAGCGGTCGTATAAAAAAGTTCAAATATACGCAACTGTAAAGTATGGCACCAAATAAATGTCGCGTAGTGTTACAATGCGTTTCGCCTCTCAAAGCAACCTGTCCAACTGACTTCGCCATGCTAAGTTTTGACATAATCTCCACGAACCTCCCACGTGTACCCAAAACTTGTTCAATCTGCCAGACTATAAAGTAAACTTAACACCCGCGTAACGTTGTTGTGCTATCTGGGAGAAGATGGTGATAGGCCGAACGAGAGAGAGAGAGGGGGGAGGTGGATTTAAGGCGGAGGCAGTTTAAAAAAAAATGAAGAAAAAAATAAAATAAAAATATTAATGTAGCGATTGCATCGTAAGGAGCCCGTGGGGAACGAACGTGTTTTGATTTGGAGGTAAGTTTCCGCCTCTCCGCTGTCTTGTGGATAATAAGGCGAGGGTTACCGTGTGTGTTATATTGCACTGCTGCAGATAATCGTTGCGAGAAATATACCAATTATGTCCAACTCGGAAATCAATTATGACAGTAGTAATATTATTATTATTCATACCGATAACGCAATTTATAGCCGTGATAATATATCGTATATAATAATCACGGCTGGCCACATCGCCCTTAAAATGCAGAGAGAGCCGCCTGCATACAGATTGGATTTCAGCGTAATTCCCAAATCGGATGTTATTATGATTGTAATTGAAACAACAAATAAATAACACGGGAATCGCCTACTAAGCGGAAGAAACCCGCTTTGGTGGGAGACAGCGAGACTCGCCGGCAGGTGTTGGGTGGTGGTAGAGCGGTGGTGCAGCGGTGGGGCTGATGGTACGGGTGGTAGAGGATGGAGCTGGTCGTGGTGGTCGGGGGAGCACGGGGGGCGGGGGAGATAAATGGAGAGGATGTGGGATGTGGTTGGAGGATGGCAGCTGAGAAGCGGTGGTAGGGTAGTGAGCGAGGTAGGTTGGGGTGGGTGGTGGTAGAGGGTGTGGTGGTAGTGGTGCGGACGGATGCGGGGGTGGTGGTGATGGCTAGGAAGGCGAGGGGGGGTGATGGAAGTGGAGTGGGGGCCTCTATACGACCCCCGCCGCAAACACAATGCGCCGTGTGAGACGGGAGGGAGTCACAGGCAGTAAAATCCCAGGCTTCACGGGCCGTTAGGCCAGGAAGAGGGGGAGAAAGCCGCAGAGGCAGAAGAACAACGAAACTCCTTGGAACTGTGGGGTGTGGTGGTGGTGGTGGTAGGAGGGGGGGGGGAATTCCCTTTTATTGACGATCTGTTTGACTCGAGGAAACGAGCAAGGCATCGGCCTCTAGAACGTCCGGGGCCACAAAATGTTGTAAAGCAAAATTGCCCGCTGTAAAAATTTATTGCATATAAAAGCGGTGCGCGGAGATCGTCCACGACGACGACGTGGATAAGGGGGAGGGGAGGGGGGGGAAAGGAAGCTCGCAAAAAAAGCGGTGATGGCCTTGGGATGGGAAGGGGGTGGGGGCCTCGAGTTTTGTGCGCCGCGGGTATTCCGCGACCGCGTCTCACGACGCACCCCGAAGCATCAGGGCGCGATCATCACCACCCCACCGCTGCCTTCCCAGAGACGCCATCGCCACCGATTCCCCTCCCCTCCCCGCCCGCCCGCCCGCCCCCCACGGCTGCCCGCTACCCCACACCCCCAGGCCCCCCCCCTCCCCACCTCCCCCCCAAACCCACCCACCCTATGGTTATTGTTGCCGCTGCTGCTGTTGTTATTTATTTGCCGTTATTTATTTATTATTGTCGCAGGTTGTAAATCAAATCTATTGCGAGGAGCCTGCGAGGAAATACAGCGCCGAGGGCACCGATTTTTGACGCTGGAGATAACGCCACCTGTTGTGGGGCATTTGTCTTCGTTTTAGTGTGCGCTAGAGTGTGGTCGTGGTGCTGCTGATGATGACAGTGGCGGTCGTGCTGTTGTTTAGATTAGTTAGTGGTGGCGCTGTGGTGTCTGTGACGTCGTTGGTGTTTGTGGTGATGTCGTTATTGTTGGTGGTGGTAGTGGTATTGATGTTTTAGTGTGCGCTAGAGTGTGGTCGTGGTGCTGCTGCTGCTGATGACAGTGGCGGTCGTGCTGTTGTTTAGACTAGTTAGTGGTGGCGCTGTGGTGTTTGTGACGTCATTGGTGTTTGTGGTGATGTTGTTATTGTTGCTGGTGGTGGTGGTGGTATTGATGTTGTCGGAACGGGCTGGTGTTCTGGGTGGGAGTACTCTGTTGTTGGTGTCGGGAATTCTCGGGGTGCTGTTGGTGATGGTGGTGGTGGTGGCGGCGGTGGTGATGCATTAGCGGATGCGACTTTAAGCGAAAGAAGAAAGAGGGACAGAGAGGTGCAATAAAGCCATCAGGTCGGCTAGACGTCTGGAGTTAATGGCTTTATGGCACTGCAAGGGTCCCTAATCAATCTTGTTCCCTAGCACTCTCCCGCCTTGTTTTGTCTCGAAAAAACTCATCTGTGAAATGGCATCCGCTCTCTTGCCAGCGTGTGCGGCGAGCAAGCCCGCAGCTTTTGCAGTCTGGAGGCAGAAATTGACTTTAATCTTTCAAAGCGAAACGCTGGCTGCTCATTCTCACGCAGCACGCAACCGGCCATTCTCGACGACTCCCAGCGCTCCCTCCCTCCTCCTGCTCCTCCTGCTCCTCA